ATTCGCAAACAAAAAGACGCAGTGTGTTCCGGCTACCAGTTTTCATCTAACTCAGCTCTAGTGCAACCCTTTTGATTTTGGAAGATAATAAATTTATATGGCTCAAAAGAGCGAAAGTGGAATAAAAATACTAAGAAGGTGAGACGGAAACAATGTTACACAATGCTACATCAAACAAAAGAAGTCTTACGAGGTGATATCAAACCGAGTAATTATTTTGAATAGTACCATGTCGTTACCTGTGCAGTAATCCACGTTTAAGACTGAAAGTTTAGACAGGTTGAAAAAGTGATGGAAAACAGCACGGCAGTTAACAAGATTGGAGCAAAACAATTCGCACAAGGCAAAAATTCATTAGGAAAAGAAAAAGAGCTCTGCTGCATGGATTACTGATAGATATCAACGAAAACTTTAGAAGGTGCATTAAAACAAATGAATCATTGCACGCCAAAAACACTACCAATGGCTTTTATAGCACCAGTAATTCACCCACTATACTGTTACTTTCAGGCTCAAGTTGGCATGATCTATTCAAAATGCCTGCTTGTACAACAAACTACCCCTTAAGGGACGGATGTGGCGATAACAATTCTGTGGGATAATGGTATACACACAATCGTACTTAGAGAGTAATTTAATGGAATGCAAGCTGGGAGTATCTCAAAGTGAAGAGGGTGAGAACGAACGGACAATAGCGCCATTTGTAAACTAAGAGTAAATGCTGAAATAACGCGCAACCACGACTTCGCCTTCCACAAAAAGAGGAAAAAAGGAAGTCAGATGGATAAAAAAATGTAAATGGGAGCAAAGGTACGAGATATATGCGCACATACTTTGCAAACTCAGGAAACGCTACGCATACATTTTTAGGTGGACAACCAATTTTTTCCCAATTTTCCCCCATTGAAGACCTTATCTTTTCACAAAGCGCGATCTGGAAAATACCTTTTCACATCTTCAATGCAGAATTATGCTTTAAAAGAAAAAGTTGTTTTCAAATCAGGTATCTTGATAATAAGATCCTTTAAGCAGGCTAGAAGGAAGATGACGTGCCTCGCAATCGAGAAAATGGACACCAGTTAAGTAAAGTGGTAAGCCCACAAAGCGATGCCTGGTCTGCTTCGACACACCCGCCAGCAGCACCCACTTTGCCTAAGCAACCCTGACGGAACGTATACACAACATGCGTTTCTCATTAGTCCAGGATAACTGGTTGCAACAAACCATGTGCTTGGGCTCCAAACAGCAAGAGAAAACTACAGCTATGAAAGTCTGTAAATTAGTTTGTTTGACCTGAATTATTTTTGAGCAACAAAATCCCCCCTATAAGTCGAATACTCGAGCATTCACGAAATTTAAGCGGTTTATAAATAACAAAATCCTATCCCCACCTCCAACATGATCAACCTAACTAGCTTTGGAGGTTCATTGTGTGACCGGGTATTATTTTTAGGAAGCGTATTATTCTCCCTCCAGAATACCTTTTTTATTCAAGACCATTGAGGATAAGATGCACAATCGTTAAGGTGGGGAGTGCTTTGTTGCAAAGACTGTGAAGCAATCCAGACGTGAGGATTAGCGTGAAAAACACATGGGAAGAGGAAAATCCTCCTCAAATACAAAAAGTGGGGAAGAGAACTTGAGATGGTGACGAGCATGACAAGCTATGAAGATAGCACATACGTCCATCCTGTTCTAGCATTCGCATGTTTACATTTAAATTGAACCATGAAGTGTGCGATAACACATGAATATACGTAAACAGAGGTGTACATTATAAGACAAATAGCACATCATTTTCAGGAAGTATCAAAAGAAAACCGACTACCACAATCTAGTTGTCGTGATGTACTACTAACATAAAAATCTGCACTATTAAGCGGACCAATTAACTGTGTTCAAGTGTATGTGCAGGATCAAATGACACATCTATTAGCCCTAATATGACTTTTGCTAGATATAAAACAATTAGGTTCAACCAGTTATCATAATCTGATAAATGGCACATGTCAAATACTTGTGAGCAGCTTCAGATGGAAAAATTGAAGTATCACGTATTTGATGGTAGTCTTAGACGCGAAAACCTCAAAATTGCAGATTTAGTCAGCCGTAATGGGATGTTAAAGTGAATTTTAAAAAGTGCATGTTATATCTACGGCATTTAAAGCCATAATCCCATGGGCACAAAATGAGTTTCTGGCTTACCATCGATGAGGTTGGGATGGTCGGCAAAAATGGCGTTATTTAATGCATACACGCAGCACGTGTCGCCGACTTCATCACTTAATGTGAAGGAAGGATGGAGACTAATGCAGACACAGATAAACATGGCTAGAACACATTTCCACCTACATTGAAAAACAATGGACCAAAATTAGCAAGTGAGTCATTCGCGGGGGGGAGGGGGAAGGGAGGAGAGTGTGAGGACCCCACGTACACATCCGTTTCTTTACGTCGTCTGCATATTTGGAGGTACGTTTGCGCACAAACGGCGCTGAGGCGATGCAACTAATTGTGATCCCTTGATCTCCCACACCAAAAAGTAGACAATGGTGACCAAGAGAAGATACACAGATTGTGAACCGCTATAACGGTATATTTCAATTTTAAACTAAACCATACAGGCTCTTTTGATCACCCTCGATTCGACTTCTGCCTTGGTGAGGTATGGTTTAATGTCTATGCTAGGGTCACTCGCAGTCCGGTACGCTAAATGGCCTCCAGAGGGGCAACTCGGGTACCACTAAGCCATGCTTCACTTTCATTAATCACATCAACACACGGGCAGTAGTGAGAAGCGAGAATCACAAACGACTGGAAAAAACGGAACATCTTGGCCACAAACGCATTTTTTGTTTGGCAAAATAATTGTTTCTTTCTCAACAATAACGTGAACGAAGTTTTAAAACAGGCTTGGGAGTTGGGGGAGAGCATAACCCTCGGACTCACTAGAAATGCAGTTTTAACAGAAGGAACAACAAAACCGTGGAATATGGCTTTAACCTAATAAGATGCAAGCATAAATTTCTAGTATACCTTTTGCAATTGGGAAAAAACTCCGTAAAAGATGCTAAACGTGCAAACTAAGAAATTTGTGGAGTAGATTCATATGCCTAAAATTGAGGAACAGTACATACTACTTAAGGTATCGCAGATGAGGTGGATAAAGTAAAACAAGACACCGTACATTGGACTAAAGAGGATTTAATCAAAAGAAGTACAATTAGATTCCAAACTGTCATGTATATTCTGTCGTGCTGGAAGTGGTTGTGATGTTACAGCAAGCTCAGATAAAAAGCCCAACAATAGTTAGCGTAAGCACATCATGCAAACAAGGCTTGAAAATGGCCTCCGGCGAGAAGAAAGTGCTAATTAGATACAAAATGAATGGGCGGCAGGCGCTTTGTAAGAATGAGAAATTAAGGATTGATGGGAGGGTGTATGGAAAAAGGACAGCACACACAGACACACAACCACGTGCTCGAAATGGAAAGTTACAAAGCTGTACCATTAAATCCAAAGCAAAACTTTTGAGAAGTGGCGCAATTCTAGTTTCCCGGCTTGGTTAACAGAAAATGCTAAAAAATCCTGGTTTTAGTGGATGATTTCTCCAAACAGACAATGGCGGCGATTGTATAATCAAAGGAACGCAAATGCACGGAGACACGACATCAGAAAATGCATAGGAACCCAGTTTCATGGTCATTAATAAATCCATCTTTAAGCTAAAAAACATTGATACTTTTTTCTTTGGAAATTATACCTCAATAAGGTGTTCTACTATTCATTCCAAAAGTGTGTTATGCGAAGCCTAAAGAGCCAGAAAGTACTGACTTACAAACGAACGTGCCAATAACGACGAACAACAGCCCCAAACAGAGGAATTCCTTTTTTACCATAAAATATACACATTGCAAAGTTGGCCAAAAACATGGAGACTTAGTCTGAGAATAGTATTCGATTAATATTAAAGTATCACTTCAGCAATTGCACAATTTACCATATGGAATTAAGCATCTATAAAGGAGAATAAACCAGAATTGCCACCTAAGACAAAGAACCTGATGCTTACTCAAATACAGCTGCAACTGAAAATCTGATAGCTCTAAATAACGCTGCTATCAACTTCAATACGAACAACACCCACTGGGTCCGCTTTGATATTAAGTATTCGAAGCAAAATAAGGACAAATTTCGTGACACGGACGAGAATTCTGTGGGTTTTAGGTCGTCGAGAGTGAGTAATAGAATGAGTGATGCGATAGAACTGTTAAAGCCTATTTTGGACAAACGACTCATAAATAGCAATTGGGCGAAAGTACGGGTAGCAAGAGAAAGGTCAAAAGGGGAAATTACGATCAATTTCCCCTAAGATGTAACAGTAGCATTTATGTGATTGACGTCGATTGTACGCCCAATTACGAAATAGGGGAAAATAAATCATGTTTTGGCAAATTATCTACTTAACGTTTGTCACTGTAGCGAAGTTAAACACTTTTCACATTGTCCGTTGAATTACACAGGTTTTACTATCTTTGAGTCCTGCTCCGTAAACTTCCGTTGCCAGACCACCAGATTCTCTTACAAATCATGAAACTGCCTCCACACTCAAGTATCCTACAAAGTTTACATAAATGACGCAGAATACACAACAGTACCGAAATTACGGCATTAGCTACAGGCCCACAAAATTCCCAGATGATTTCACCATTACCTTCAGACAGCAATTCCCCATCGAAATATAGTTTCACAACCTCCAAGATGAGCAGCATAAAGTACGAATAAATTGTTGGAAGTGGAAAAATGGCAGCCTGTAGAGATGCCACTTCTTGCAGACGGGAGAGGAAGAAATCCGACCAACAACTCAGAGTTGTTGTAAAATAAATTGTAAATGTAAATGTAAAATAAAACTAAATTAACTCATCAAAATCTCGTTGATGTACTTAGAGGGAAGTTCTCCACCGCCACCAACGAAGTGCAATTTCTAATAGAGTAGGGACTCACCCATTGCAGTGGGGCTCCTCACCCTGCCTCTCCCCCTCTCCTTCTCTCTCATGCAAAGTAAGAGGGGGTGAATTAGCTGAGAAACGGGGCGGGGATGGAGGACTAGTGGGAGGTGGTGGGGGAATTTGGAGCGGGGGGGTGGCGGACTCTTCCAGAGTCTGTTCTGGAGCTAATGGAAGCGACAGTTCCACTGGATGGAGACTGGAGAGCGCCGGGAGTTGGATATCCGCCGACCCCTGCTGCTGCTGAGGAAGACGTTGCTTTGCGTAGGCCAATTTAAATGCATCGCCAATGATTGCATTCAACTCCTCTGCCTGTAAATGGAGACAAAGAGATGCATTGGGTGCTTCAAGGAAGCTCTTAATCGCTTCTGGAATACAACTTGGAAAATATTTTGATGCAACATCCATTAAAATCTACCACTGACTGCCTTGCTTCCATTCATTTTGTCTACACGTCTGACTTTTGCAGTGATATCTGCTTTTTTAGGAGTAATTCAGATCCTTCAAGACGGTGTAATAGTAGAGGCAACCAACATCTCGATCCTATGCAACGACAGTATCCCTTCGTCAGTAATAAAAACAACAAAAAGAAATCCCGAACCCCATTTCAAGGGGTTCATTAGACTTTCCCCGAGTAGCATATTTAAATCCACAGAAATGGAAAAAGCGAAAACATTACCCGATTCGTAATCTATCCTTTTTCAGCAAAAAAACTGGATTTGTTACATTAACAAGGCTTAATGTGGACATGTACCCACAAAAAAGAAAGGTTGTAGACATCACTTTTTTTTATAAAAATCAACTGTTTACTTGACGCAGCACAGCTTCGGAAATGCCCTTAGACTTGTATTATTTACCCTTGAAACCCTTCCTGGCAAATGTGGCATGGCAATCTTTCCGTCTTAACTGCATCAGATCGTCTAGTGCTACCACAATGGCTAACCTCTATGATGCTTACCGACGCCAACATGTACAGGAGTAACCTGAATATGCTGCAAAATAATGTGCAAGTACACCTTCCAAATGGTGCACATTAATGCAATCATATCAGCTATACATAAGTCGTAAAAAGCCTCAATGTGCACATTGAAGGCACCTTTGCTAAGGGTTCAATCAGGTCTACTTAAGTTAGCAATCTAGACGTGCTGACCTTTACTGTCCACAAATGTCTACGGTGCAATCCATAATACTCATACATCTAGTCCGCATATCGGTATTCGAAATTACTCAGATGGTGCAGATCTTGAACTTTCTGTGCCTTGGTGTAGTGTCAACGACTCGTCATGAAAAGACAAGCTTAAGAGGCCCTTGCTTAAGGTTCATTCAAATTGGTAAAGAGCAGTATTTTCTTATGTATAACAAATTTTTGAAAAGGTTAGTCTTAGCAAGGGGACAAATGGACCAACAGAATGCATTTCTTCTACTGCAATGGTAAGAGAGGGTTTCATTCGAGGAAATAAGTCTGAAACAGCGCTTCGAAAGTGTATGCAACCATTTCAGGATAGTAGGTTTGTTAGCAGTCTCGAAACAAAATCGACGACCACAGCTATCTTTTACTGTTCTCGAGTGAGACAAGATGTCATTCGCTTTCAGAGGGTGCATAAAATTCTACAAATAAAAGGGAAGTATTCCCAAACGAAAGACATCTTATGTCTACCATATTTTTAGAAAGCTTGTAATACGATTTGTTGCAATTAATTACCGTAAACTGCTAACGTGTTACACACATGTGAAGGAGGTAAAGAACAGACTAAAGTGCGTAGGACATTTCGGTTTTTTGAGAAAACAAACAGTTCACCTGGTTCAGCTGTTAGTTTATTCTTACAACGGAATCGCATAGAAAAGGGTCGACTACCGATGCCGATACTAGTCCTCTGAATCACTGTTCAGTTAAATACAAAGTGTAGTAATAGTAGTCAAAATGTCACGATATCGTATAGCAGTAAATTCCGAAAATTAAACCACCATTTTTAAGAAAGCAATGCATAACAGATTTGTTTTTCCAAGAAACTTATCATGCACTGAAGCAGCAATCCTAAAAAAGGAAAGCGAATTTGATTCACATAACCCACACAAGGGTGGAATTTTGGACAAGGGAAGGTGGTAATAATGATTGAAATTGTGTGCAACCTTTTCACCTGACTGGAGCCACATCGACACCGCATGTGAACTGCAAGAAGGCCAGATGAAAATGTCAAAACAGTGCTGTTACAGCGGATGCAGGGCCAAATATGGTTGAGGTAAGAAGGGGAATGCTGATATTAAAACGCAAGTAAGTCCACAACACGACTATTGTGGAGAGAGATTCATCAGACGAAATTAACTTTTCCCTCTTAATGTACGGGGAATAGGAAAAGAGGGGAAGTAAGATCTGGCGCAGGTTGAAAATGTAGATTACGGAAAATATGACAGAACGAATAACGGACCCTTGCTTGCAAATAATATGCATGAACAATAGCTGGCGCTTGCTGATAATAAACCAAAAATTTGTCAATTGAATTGTATGCACCAAGGAGAAATTCTACTGCAGGAGTGTTCTATGAAAAAGCCCTTCAAAAATAATCAACACATTCTACTCACTTGAATGATACCGCAGATGCTCGTCAAAACGAGAAACTAGAAATACATTAAAGCATAACCATTGTGAGGGAATCATATTTACTTCGAGAACAGTGGAAAGGATATGAATAGCTAACGACATCAAACATGGTCAGCAGATGAAAAAGAGGCAAATGTCAAACAGGGATTGGGCAATGAATCATCTCTAAGGTACAAATGTATGTCAACATGGTAGAATGGAATCTTTCAAACCACCTGTTCCTGATCAACCTGCCAAACTGCTACACTTCTGCACCATTATCTGCTATAGATGAAACAGACTGACAATTTGCATTATTAAAGTTAACATTGGTGGGAAGAATAAGAGAGTAAAGTAAGGACTTAACGGTTAACTGTAAGGCAACGCGACAGCAGAAATCCCAGCTTGGACAAGGTAAGGAAACAGGATCACAGGCGGAAAAGGTAAGATGACGGTCAGACTATTCACCCTTGCTTAACAAGTGCGTGTATTTAAAGGCAGTGCGTATCTCACACAGGTTTAAACACATAATGGACAACAGAAAGAAAAGGGAAACTGGCTTGTGCCACAGCCCACGGATAGGCGGTTCCAGCACATAAAAGGCGCACCCTGCTGGGCGACCGCACTTTTCACAAAGAAAAACTACGCACACAGACGCGGCTAAAAGGATGCATATCTTGGTTCCAAGTTAGCAATCCATACCTTAAACAAGGGCTACAAATGAATGAAAGCGAATGGAATTTAGCAACTAACAGGCTTAACCAGAATGCTTTAAAAACACGAAGAAATTCGGCCACTGTTTTAAACATACTCTTCACACCTCTTTATGAAGATCAAAGCCTGTAGGACAGCAATAAGTACGAAAATGCTATTAAAACCAATAAAGAGAAATAAAGAAAGGTACTATACCGAATGTTTGACCTATTCAGACGCGATAATTAGTGACTACCGGTTAGCAAAAGCACAAAGCCGTCGTCTACCCTCAACTGACATTGTTAGATGAGAGAAGCCGGGGCCAAAAAGAAAATGCAAGGGGAACTATTTCGCAAGCTTATAATTAGATCTGTTACCACGTCACATTACATCGACTCATACTGCAATTTTGCCAGTCTCAATTAAGCCAGGATTTGTTCTCAGAAGGAAGAATAGATTCGCCAATAACTACCCGCACTTCCTCTCCGTTTACTTGTTCTTATTTCCTACTCCCCATTCCCCCGTTCAGAGTTAGAGAGCAATAGTTGGCAGCTAGCCAAAAATAAACTCTTCCTTTCAGAGAACTGATAGGAATGGAAAGTAGTTTGGTGCATCACCACCTCCTACGGATTCCATTCACCCTCCAAGACATGCATTCATCAACCACAGTGCAGAATCAAGTATAAAGTTATGGCCGAACTTGCATGCTGCAAATAACCAATGAGCACTGTAGACGTTGTATAAATGGTAGCTACAAAATGTTTTTTGTATAACAACTGCAGCACAAAATGTAAACGACGAAAACAAATGGTCTAACGTTACAAAGAATGGACAAGACCAAGGAGAGATTAAAAGATCCACACTGGCTAGCAATCTAGAAAAATCCTTTTAAATGTAAGTTTAATAAAGGGGGCATGGAATCCGAAAAGTAGATTTATTATTGGTAAGTAGGTAGATGAAGTCTACTTTGAGACGCAAAATGCATCATTAGACTTGAGAAATTGGCGATCAAATAGAAGTAGCTGACGCAGTCTTCAAAAAAACAAGAGTATTGACGGTTCCTCAAAAAAAAAACTAGAAAGCCTCTTATTAAGCCATTTTTAATACGTTAAGGACGATAAATTTGCCCCATGATCATGCATTGTACGCACGAACAGCATGAAACCGAGTTTACAATAGAAAACTCCAGAGATTTAAGGAGCACAAAAGCCCCTAGAAACAGAAAGCAACGTCAGTAAATATTTAACGCATCAAGAATGGCCAACCAAGTCAAAATCGCCAGACGCTTTTAAAACAGGACGAACAAGATGCTGGAGTAATAGCGAGTAAAAGACAGCACTTCTAATACTAAAAGGATAAGGAATTAGAAGGATGCATGGAAATAAAATGCACTGAGCAACGTTGGACACACCTGATACTGTGTCTCTGTAGCAAAGATGTGGCAATATTGGCAAGGTGTCTCACTATTCGCTTCGCGGGCCAAAAAAGCGAACTTCGAAGAATACGGATCGCAGGTAGCATAGGAAATGCGGCGCAAGGCATGGGCCATGTAAACAGTCTGACGATTAATGATGACAAATGACATACCTTGCAATCGGGATCACAAACTTTCACTCCGGATGTCGATATGCAGAGCATAACAGGCTTAAAGAACGAAAACTTCTAAAAAACCGACTAAGATGCACTGCATTCTTACCTGGAGGACTTCCAATTTATTTCGAACAAAAGCAGCGCGCGAGAGCTTGTCAGCCTCAAATGGCATGGAGCCGAGGTACTAGACACTGATGATTAGGTATAAAAAACTACCAAAGCGGGTCGGAAAATAATGTCAGGAGGCATCTTATTGTTCTAGACTAGGTAAAGGTTAAGGTAACTACGGGTGACGCACAACACCCACAGCCCAGAACGACAATTCTCAAAGCAGTCTAAGACACCTCCCGCTTTGCATGTGTATTAAAACGAAATCAAACTAGATAGGGAATAAAATTTTAAATAACGTGGTGCACATCACACCACTATAGACCTATAGCAGTAAAATAAAAAATTCGGTATAATCTAACGTTTAAAAAAGATATTTTTTTCCAAAAGTGTTTTGTTAGTGGAAAATTTTTACCTGTACAATTACGTTGGGATTTAGTGCTGCATTTATCAGTCTGCTGACCTGCTGAGGCACTTGAGTGTCCTGCCATACGGTATGGCCTATGAGGCTGTCGTTAGCTCCCCAATTATTTCGTACCTTGGCATTTTGTTGCCCTACCGCACAATTTTGGCTTACCACAGCCCGCACCACTTCCACTATGGAATACAACAGGATGTCGGACACCGCTAAATAGGGTAGACACACTGTAAAGTTATGTGTCAGCCACATGTCGCATGACTGAGTTGCAGTGACGCCCACCGCCTAGACAGGTCTAGTTTCACAATACATATTTCATTTGACTCGCATTTGGGCTACCGGATGAATTTTACAAAAATAACTTGATATAAATGTATACACTCCCCTTTTGTCGCGTCTGCGTATACGAATAATCACCGTTTTTTCCATGCACATCTCTCCAAAAACACCTTAATGCACTGGATTTGCCTCATTTGAATGCGAATTATAAAAAGTCTTCTTATGTACGTTAGCTTTTTACCTTGTCTATAGTACTTCTTGCTAGATTTTCATTATTTTTGTGTCAAAAAATTCATTTTGTTTATAATTTTGAAATTCCGCTTTGCACTACCAATTAGAAATTCATGAATTTTTGGACAATTTACCTGAATAACTCCTTCGCACTTTGTGTTTAAGCGGGGTCATGGTGCACTTTTCGGATTTCTTCCAGCGGGAGTAGTTTCGTGTTTGGGTCTACCATCGTTCAGTAGATAGTTTATTCGTAATTTGAATTATGACAAATAAAGCTAAATTTGAGCACGATGAACTAGGCGACATTGAGGTTTTATGCGATTTACATCATATTTACTTGAAACCAATTTGTAAAGTACATTTAACTGTTCAAATTTCTGGTTTAAGTTGTATTGGGGCACAGGGCAGGTGCTTATCTACATGGGAGGTTTCAGAAAAGCTGCGGCAGCTTTGTCCGTCTCTTCTTTCACCGCCTATTCAGATGAAAGTGACGGGTGCAACTGTTGACTTCGTCCGTTTTGTTGTTGAGCTCAACTCGAGAGTTGACGTCAGAAGAGTTATTAAAGCTGCTGATAGTCAGGTATTGTTACTTTGTTGCAAAAATACAAAGGCATTACACGATGACTTCCTCTTTGCTTTTACCCCAATATCTTGGTAGCGGATAAAACTTAGTGGATTCCCCCAAACTTTGCGAGTTCGCGCCGGAGATGCGCCAATCGATTGTCCCCGCAAACACGATTGGGAGGCTTTTTTCCGAGATGCAAAGGATATGAACGAGTTGGTGCCAGGTGAACGCCCTGATACCGTCGTCATTTCCAAACTGCCGGTCCGTTGGTTCGCTCGTTCTAGCAGCACTACTAAATTTCAACCAGATCCCGAAATTGTCGAGGAAGTTTTTAAGGTAATTAACCTTGAAGTGACTTTCGTTTTTCTCAATGGCCCTATTAATGGGAGTATTCTCCAGATATATGGCAAGATCCGACGTATCGATATCCCAATGCTGGATCCGTGTCAGAACCCACAGCTTTTGACAAAAATGGGTCTTTCAGTGGACCATGCCAGAACTTTCCTGTCCGACTTCGGTTACACGCTTTCTGCTGAGCCGGATGCTGCTATTTCGTCATCCTCCTCTATCTACGGTCACGACGGTTTTGGAAAAATGGCTCCTTCAACAATCAAACCGTTATTTTTTGATGAAAAACCCCTCACCTCTGTTGACTCCGCCTCCCCACTAACCTTCACGGTTTTTATTCAATACACCGACTATTCGGGTTTTGCAGCGGCCATGGAGGCTCTAAGGGGTAAGAAACTGATATACGCGCCTAATGACAAGAATAACGCGGATTCACCGAAGTTCTTTTCTGCCGAAATAAAGGTGAGCCTCCTTTTAACAGCTGTCTCCTATTTCAAGTGTTCTTAGTGTCCGCATTATTTTGTGGTTCCCTTTAGTATGTTCGTTCTCTGAGGGCATTGTTACTAGAATGTTTTTAAAGGGAGCTCGCTGAAGGAAATAGGATTAACCTTTATTTATGTTGCTTCAGTGAATGCTCTGGAATGCCATAGTTGACGCCTATCCCCTGGGTCGTTTCGTTCACCCTTCTCGTTGATGTGTTCTTTATATGTTCAGTTACCAATGAATCTAACTTTTCGTTTGGTAAAATGGCTCCTTAACAGGCTACGTGTTCGGCTGACTTTAACTAAGACCTACATCCCTCTTTTCTGTTTCTATTCGAAGGCCCGGTTAGTTTATGAGTCTAGACTAATTAGGTTTCCGATGCGAATCCGATCCATAGAGCTGGATTTGCTCACAAGGTGAAGAATTGTTGAGTCTTATGTTGGTACCATTCTCCACTGTTTGACGCATTGATAAGATTGTTCAAATTACTAACGGTTTTTTTACTTACACGAGCTTGACCAATTATGCTTTCCGGTTGCAATGCGAATTCAAGCCCATGAATGTGAGGGGATATGAGTAATTAAGGGTCGGTTTCACCGACGTAACCGTAGTGACCACTCGATTTGTAGTCTGTACTTTTATTTTTTAATCGTGAGACCTTTTGGGTACTTGATGCATATGGGCAACAGCAGTTTGTCATTTTCACTACTTTGCATTGGCTAGTTTGTTCTGCATGCTGACCCTCACCAAGGCATGCGTTTCTAGATGCCTCCATTTGAAGATCTAGTCACCTTGTCTAGCCATACCTGTGAATCCAGATCACAAGAAGCTCTGCTTATGTTCGTACGTTAGCAGAGGTCGCTACATTGGTGGTGTAGACTGTTTCGACCAAGTGCTTGGCCCATTAATGAAATCGAGCTAGTTACTCGTCCCGAAGTTATGCTATCAGTTGCCCATTATGCCATTAATTTGGTTTTATGAATGGGATCAGTCTTCGGTTAACAGATTGAGCACCATCCACTAAGAAGAACGCAATAACCACTTGAATTTTTCTGGTACCGTTGTTCGAAAATTTTGACGCTTCGTGAGTTTCCAGTGTGAATATACGGTAGCAAATCGTCACTGAACTCACATTTTTTAATTGATTAAGTACTTAGCTAGTGGATGAAATATCAGGATCGTAGCATTGTCATGCATCTTCAAGAGCTACTTTTAATGGGTGATCTAGTTATCTAACAAAATAATATAGCTTCGATAACTTCGATATAAAGTTGTCACAAGCGGCGCTGAATATGTTTAAGTGATCGCAGGAGTGACTATATAAATTTATCCTTCGTCAATATTGTTTAATTTCATGTGTGAGGCAAATTATGTTGTCGTTTCCCACTTGTTAGGTGAATGTGGGTTTATGATGATGAATGTTATAACTCTTCTAGCCTTGTTACCAGTTAGCTCTTTTAAAAATTGGCCAATGAGGTTCAAAAATCATGTAGCGATTTTTTATGGGTACCGACGCCTGAAAATAGTAATATTTTTGCCATGATCATGTGTTAGCACCTCGCCAATTGTCTTCAGGCTTATTGATTGATTTATAATTGGAGGCGGTGAGTTGGTGGTGTTTTTGTGAGTAACTGGTCTGATTTTCACAAATAAAATCACTTTCATTGAACAATTTTCAAGTTTGTTCCTGCCAGCTCCCGTTTTATTATTAGCTACGTAGTTACTTAGGCTGCTAGGTGACAGGATTTTAATTTTCCTGCCCTCCCGTAATCTAACGAAACTGCACTTCTCTATGGTCTATTCCTGACCGAAGAGCTGGCCATCTTACCTAGTCCGACTTACCGATTAAAATCAAAAAGAGCGTTAGGACCCTTCAAATCGGTTACTTCGTTTCACGAATTTGAGGTTATGGTGTAGTTTATCAGGTCTGAATGCAAGGGACCACACTGATCCCTGAGTCACTGGAGATTAGAGGTACTAGTACCGCATGCTCGATGCGTTCTGCTAGGTAATTAATGGTTTCTCGTTAATAGTTGGAAGTGTTGTCGTTACTCTGTTGTTGCCCCACTGTTGGACACTTTGTCCTAATACTGATACTGGTTGCATAATTAATAGTTTTTCGTTGGTTAAGTAGTGATCAGAGGCCCAGAGGTTGGGCCGTTTTCGATCCACCACAGATCGATGCACTAATACTTTGTCACTGATTTCGCAGTTTTTAATTAGAAGTAATTTTGTGACTCCGCCGCAGGTAAACTTTGATCGAAGCAAACATCTCTCTGACCTCTCTGTGCGCCGACGAAAAGCAGCGCGCATTCAGCTGGAGGCTGCAGCTATAGCGGCTGAGGAGGAGGCGCGTCGTTTGAGGGCCGAGCGTGAGGCTCGGACGAGGGAGCTGGCGGCGCAGGCGGAGGCTGAGGCACAACTGGCCGCCAAACGTGCTGAGGAGAAGAAAAGGGAAGAAACAAGGAAAGAGGAATTGCTGCGTGCTCTGGCCAAACGTATCAAGAGGGAGCGGGCGAAACGTGCCAGGGTTGAAGCGGCCGACAAAGTGACTGAACGCGAGAAGAAACGACATAAGGGGAGTCTTTACTTGTCGCTTGGCGTTTTGACCTGCTTCCTCATAGATTGAGATTTTAACGCTACGTTATGAATGTACTTTTAATGGTAATCTCGAGTTTTTATTTGGAGAGTGGAGTGCTTTTCTGTTTAATACGACACAACACCTTTTTTTCAGAAATGCATCTTTTGGAATTTTGTCATTAAGAACTTGAGGTTTCTAAGCCCCCTTGACGTATTGTTTTTGGAGAGTTATGTTAACAAATCCTAAAGACATTTCATTTGGTTATCCACGCCAAGGTTGCATATCGTTATTATAACACACGCAGACAATTTTTATTTTCGGATTGAACTTGACATAGTATTGTGGATGCGAATCGTGTGAGTTGCCTCTTTCATGTACATCTTTGCTGTAAACTAGAATGCCGGGTAGTTTTTGGCAAATTTATGGATGTCTATTTTAGGCTTCGCATATTTTTGTATTTGATTATTACGCTACTGGATTGAGGAGGAAACTTATGGTTTTAGTCGCTTCTTTTTTGGCTACAGAAGCATCATCGTGAAAGGGAGAAAGCGATTTCCAAAGACACCAAGGATGGCCTTCCAGTTTCTACATCCAGCATTGCTATTCAGACTTCTCCCGAACGAAGCCATTCCTCTGGGAAACATGCAAGTGAAATGCTTTTTTGAGGAGGCATTGATGAACATTTAGAGTAGTTTAATCAAAATTCCATTTATGGCGCGATTGCATTTAGTCTTCTTGACCTGACGGACACAAACCTTCAATAATAGATTTCTCTACCGCATGACATTTCAGCAATCGCGAACAAAGTTGATTTCTGAGATGCGGGCCAGGTCCCCAGTGGAGGCTACCGCGGAGCGAATGCGTGAGAAACTGCTGCAAAAGCGGGAGCTGCAGCTGCGGGCGCGACTGCTTTCGGCAAGTTGTGAATTTTATGTCTGTCTGCAACCGGAATGTGAGGATACTAACTTCTACCTTCTATTTCCTCTTTAGCGTCTGCACGAATGATTCCAAGTGGCTGAGTGTTTGTACATTGGAGGAAATTTTTACTTATCTTTATGTAAAACAATATCTTATATGTGTGCACGATTATTCACAAAAAATACAAATATTTTAAGGCAATTTAGTATTAAAACGCTTAAAAGAAGGAACTTTTGAGTTGCAATTCTTGCCAGCCTTTTGAAACACCCCATAATAGGTATTGCAACTCTGCAGTTATTTGATATAAAGTATTTTTTTTAATGAGGACGGCCATTGCCATAATTCCAAGGGCTGATATGAAGCTTCCGACTACCAATAACTGGCTGGGTTCGAAATATTATGGGCTTAGCTCGCATCAGTGGTGAAACGGCAATGTTCCATCAGATAATGTCTTATTTCATTGGCAGCAGCTCCGGGAGATTTACCCACTACTGTTTGGAGCCTGCATAGACTGTGTGAAAGAAAACCTACTTTGCCTAGCTGTGGTGTGATTGGGCGATAATTTTTGTGCATGCGGGTCTTCCACGATTCATGCCACACGTGCTAATGGCCCATCAGGCCTTCTGCATGGTTGCAAGTTACTTATATAGGCACGAGCATTATAATACATATGGGGATAGCTAACTCCGTTAGGCAGCCCACTACCAGAGAGCAGTCATATTTCTGTCATACTGATGGTATGCAAAAGTTTTATGGGAGAGGACAGCAGGGAGTTTTTGGTAATCGCATGCTGTTTGCAGTGGTCAGTAATTGAGGAAAATTTGGTAGTGACTGCATTTTTTCAAAAACTGTAGGGAGCATTTGCGTAGTGATTGTGATGTGGGGACTTGGCAAGAAACGGAGCGCGGCTTTGGGCTGTTGGTCAGCATTAAAATGGTGAAACAGCGACTTCGAGATTCTTGCATTGAATGCTGTGACCCATGGGTGGAGAGGCATAAGAATTAATGAGTAACTACTTCTCTGTCGTACTCACAGGGAGTGCTGTGGACCTTGACCTTAATTGCAGTACCAGCTTTGGAGTATTGGTCACCATCTTGGATGCAGGGACCGAGCTTTAACGTCGATGGTTTGCGGTGACACCAGATTAGCAGGATGAAAATCACTCGTACCAAGTTCGAACTGTAGGCAGAAAAAAGAATTCAAGGGTTCACCGAGCTGGGATCAATGTTTTTTTGAAGGGAAACGTTCGAGTGAGAGGGAGTTATTTAAGAAAAAATCTATTAATCAACTCGGATACGAAGAACTTGTAAAAGTAAAGTTCTGTTTTAGGCAAAAACAGAATCGGTGCCGCCGTTTGCTGTTTTGTTTGCATTACTATCAATGTCCGCATTGGATGCGCGTTTTGTACATAACATGCGGGTTCAGGTAAAAAAAGTGCTTCACAC